CGGTTTTCATACGGTATACCAGATTCGGTTCTTATCTTGTCGATATCTTTCTATCTGCTTCTTTATAACTGCTTATGGTTGTATGATTGTTCGTATTCTGGGATTAACATTTGGTATCAGAGCCGAGGCGTGAAGCAGGTTGGATCTGTCTGCGATTTTTTGGATCTAACGAAGAACTGCTCTGTTTTTTCTTCTGTTTTTCTACATGTAGAGATTTGCTCCTGTAATCTCGTTTGTGAACGAAATTTTGTAAAAATCATACTGTTGGATTCGCCTTTCAAAACCGATCCAGCAGCATACCTCTTTTTCGTTTTCTGCAATTTTTATATTTCGAAGATCTCTACATTGAGATCTCGAAATCCTTATTTTTCACTGCTGCAGAAACGTTTTTGGCTTGAAACTGATACAGGAGAATCTCGACTTTCAGGGCTATTCAGAACAGGTTTCAGATTTTCAAAAATCAATGTTTTCGTTTTGCAGGATCTCGACATTTAGGGACTCAATTTCCTCTTCTCGACATCTTGATCTCGAGATTTGCATCTCGACATCTTGATCCCGAGATTTGAATCTCGACATCTTGATCTCGAGATTTGCATCTCGACATCTTGATCTCGAGATTTGCATCTCGACATCTTGATCTCAAGATTTGCATCTCGACATCTTGATCTCGAGATCTGAATCTCGAAATCTTGATCTCGAGATTTGAATCTCGAAATCAAGATCTCGAGATTTGTAATCTCGAGTTTTGGAATTTCGAGTTTAGGAATTTCGATTTTTGGGATTTCGACATTTGGGATCTCGATGTTTTGGATCTCGACATTATGAAGATTTCGAGATTTTCAAAATTTCTCGATGTTTTGAATCTTTCAAAGTTTGCAGTTTCTTGGAACTCATAATTTGAATCTTGACATCCTTTGCAGTTCATCGAAACTTTACATTATAAGGATCTCTGAATGATTCCCTGCTTATATAAATGTTTCAGGAGTTTTCGATGTTCTGATGTTTTTCAAACAGCAGGTTTTCGAGATTATGATGTTTTCGAAACTTCAAAGTTTTCGATGTTCAAACATTTTGAAATTCTGCAGATTTCGATATTCTGAGGTTTGTTTTGTAGGTGGATTTCGCCATTATTCTTCGAGGCAATATCTAGAATTTTGTTTAAAATCCACCTGCTCTCGACAGTCAACATCGAGCACCTCAACTTCGAAGAAATTCCTCAAAAACTCAAAATTAGAGATTTTCTGCGACACCGCACTGTTTTGGCCATAACTTTTGATTCGGTGATCCGATTTGAGCAAACGTTTTTTTGTTGGAAAGCTAACGAAAAGATCTACATTAATTCTGGGGCTGTGCCCCAGAAACCTTTCTCACGCGCCCTCACTCGCAGTCTTTGAGGGTCAAAACGTTAGTTTTCCGACAAACTTTGTAAATCACCGATGTTCAGGTTAAAACTTAGGCAAATCTGTTCAAATTCTTTCCATGTCAACCCTGAGGTCAAAGCTTTTCTAAACTTCAATGTAAAGGTCTGAAAATCGTAGATAATTCAATCAACCTCGTGTCAACGGTCAACCACTGAAGCCTCCTCTGACTCATCAAAATTATGTGATCATCAATATGCTGAAATTCTACATGGTGAGCTCAGGGAAACCGTCATGTGTGGTACATGTTTAGATTGCTCCACACACATGGAGGGTATGACAAGCTATGAGCAATCAAACCTTGCACATTCTGAGGGGGAGTTTCAGTTTTCTCCTCCTGGCGCCTTACACCGACAAAGCAAGGAATCTCTCAACGGATGCAACATTTTAGGGGGAGTGTTCAATGTTATCCTTCCCGGTGCCTAACAATGACAAAGCATACCGAGTACTCCAGTTGAGGGGGAGTACAGAGAGAAAATGAAGAAAGTAATGAGAGAACATGTCCCTATGGCTTAGTAAACCCAACTAAGCCTACCCAAGGGTCAAAGCCGAGCGTAAGTGCGTAGGTGAGCGAGTGAGTGAGTGAACATTATGAGCATTAGGAAGCAGAAGGCTCAAGTGAGAAGGAAACAATTATCAATGATGAGTCTGCTACCTCAATTGCCTGCTATGAATTGAACATTTGCTCCTAGCCACTAAAATACTCTGGACTATCCCCATAGGTTAAGGACTGAATTTATTCAGATCCCGGGTAGAAGTCGCTACATTTTGTCCAAACGGCGCATGCACAACCCTACCCTAGACCACTCACTTGTCTCCCAACAGACAGGTGTTTAATCATAGTTCACGGGGAACCGCATCTCTCATTACTGTCTCCTTCCGAGGCAAGTAATACTGACTACAGTGGCCTCAGCCCCATGTCACTGAACTTTCATTGATCACGTCGTGTCTAGTTACTCACTCCCAAATGTTTTGAAATTTTTCTAGGACACAGACGCACTTTTAGAGTCAGTTGCAGGTCTTCATGACCCGCGAGAACTTCCATAGGGCTCATCTATAACAGATGTAGACCAATAATTGGAAGGAAGTCCTGTTGTTGCAACATAAGAATCACCAACATTTTCAGGCCATTGCTAAAGAGTTTTTCTCTATAGTGATGATAACGGGCGTCTTCACGACCCCGGGGGGCTACGTTATCTTCTTTACATTCTGCTTGTTTTTCCTGTTTTTATTTCTGCAGAATAAAAGAATAAAAGCATGACGTCCCGATTCATCGGATTGTCATGAGGGGGAGAGTGGTCCACATGCTGTTAACACGGAACGAATCATTCTGGGACACTTCACTCCTCCATCACAAAAATCATCACCTTCTCTACTATCTCCGCAGATCAAATCAAATGGTCAGCTACACTCACAAATCCACAATCATTATGTTCCGTTGTGCCACCGACAAGTTCTCCTCAATTGCATTCATTCCAAATAGTCAAAAAGACTACATTGTGGAGGAGACAGAGGTCAAATACTCGTGTCCTGAAGATGAATTCCATTGGTGTCTCCTATTCTCCAAAGAATATTCATTCTAGAGGCGTCACCGGACTTCATCCAAGCTGATCAAGAGCAACTTCTGGAAGGCAAGGACTAAATGCAAGATACAGAAGGTCCCTCAACCCCCGGCATCAAAGATCAAATTGTCAAGAAGACATCAAAGGGGAGATTGCAAGGATTTCTTCAGATAGCCTTCCTCAGAAGTCAAGTTCAAAGACAAAGGAAGCTCAATAACAACAAAGACAAAGATATCTGCGCTGCAATGCTGATTCAACACGATTGATCACCAAGGGGGAGATTGTTGGGAATATTTTATGATGTTCAATCTAGTTAGTTATCTTTGTATTTGTGTAGTTATTAATTAAACGTGTAATACGGGCCACAAATGTGTATCAGCCCGTGGGCTTCCTTGTAACCCGTAAGTTAGCTAACTTCTCCTATAAAAGGAGGCTAACTTACGGGAACCCTAACTAATCGAAAGAGTCTTAGAGAGCAGAGGCGTAAAGATAGAGAGAGATTAGGGTTGCCGCTGCTCTCCTTGTCCAGGGAGAGCATCAGACAGTTCATACGGTATACCAGATTCGCGTTCAATCTTGTCGATTTCTTTCTATCTGCTTCTTTATCACTGCTATGATTGTATGATTGTTAGTATTTAGGGACTAACACCTTTGCCCACAAAAACATCATTTTTGGTCATAACAATTTTGTTACAATCAAAAGATACTTTAATCCCAGCTTTTACCAAGAGAGAAACAGAAACTAAATTAGTTCGAATCTCAGGCACATACAGTACGTCATTTAGTGATAAAGTTTTCCCCGATGTGAGTTTAAGAAGAACTTTCCCTTTACCGTGCACTTTTGAGGTTTTTGAGTCCGCTAGGTACACGAGCTCTTCGTCATCTCCCATAGTAGAACTATAAGAGGTAAAAGCGCTTTTGTTTTTACAAATGTGCTTGGTTGCCCCAGAGTCTACCATCCATTCATTCACATCATTTATTTTACAACTTTGAGAAACAACCACAATAAAAATATCATCACTTTTAATCAATTTTAATTTTGATTTAAGTTGGTTGTTGTTTTTCATAGTTGTCTTTTTATCACATAAAATGACATACTTGTATGTTATAATAAGTGGGATTAAAATAAGGCTTATTGGGAATAGGGTAACACATAAAATAATCACAAAATGAGATAAAGTAATGAAGACAGATTCACGTAGGTACAAGATTGCCAAGACTAAAGCAATTAAAAGAAATACCAAGTTTGCCAAGACTAAAGCAATTAAAATAATAACAATATTTTCTAGATCCGCCACGGTTACACGAGCAGGTGTCCCGATCCATTCAAAAAACAAGAGTTCAGGGTTCATGGACCCAACGAACCCGAACCCATCCTAATCCTAGTAAATAACATAGGGTCGTGTGCCTGAAACCCAAAATGGTCCCTTACCTACCCAAACCCAACTGATGCTCCCTTACTTGTATTGTAGGCTATTCAAATCATGTTTGTAGCATGAAGACCGACATGACCAAGTTAATCTTATCTTTTTGCGTTAAATGGCTAGTAATTTATGCAACTTGTTTGAAAGTGATAGTCAAAATTTTATTACTGGGCTTATGCTTTTCACTATTAGTGTTTTGAATCAATTGTATTGAATATATATTGTAAAACTGTTTTATTTAATAATTTCAACAGAATTAAGGAATCCAATTTGAACAATTCCAAACGGGCTCTGAATTTGTCATCCCCCGAGGAACATAAAGTGAGAAAAGTACCATATATCTTTGACGCAAATTATATCGTACATCCGCTATATTCTAACAAACCTTCAAAGGTTTGAATCCCTTCTATAATTCTATATCTAAATTTTAACCAATTGCCTTGATTTACACCATTTACGTCGACGCCCAACGCTAGAGCCATTTTGCTTTCATTCTAGTCAAAACTTCCTGTAAAGAGTCACGAGCTCTCAAGTCTCAAGTGACATATTCGCACCAATGACACGATAATAAAGGCACCGCACCGGTCTCTAACAACGGGGCATAATAAACTGACAATAATATAACAAGTGACATAATAAATTGTATTGAGAAGAGAAAAATAAACAAAATCATAAATTAATTAAGGATAGAAGGAGTATAATTATGTAGGACATAACTAATCCCTTACGTCATCGCTAAGGTGAAAAACTACTAGTCAAAATCGAGTCTGGAGAGACATGTCAATTGTGGGTAGCTTACTGCTTACCTATTTTAACCACATTGATAAATGTTAGAGTCCTTATGAACACCATAGCTTGCCAAATCCCTTTCATCTTCAAGCATCTTTCCCTCGAACACAAGTCTTTGTGCATGAACTGGTGTTCCCATCCTGGAACCAATCATTTCCTTCAGATGCGCGACAGAGTCCCCTAAGCGGACTTCAAAAGCTGTACTTTTGCAACCACTCTTTATGAATATCTGACAAACCATCTCCAACATGGAATCACTTGAAATTTTGTGTTGTGAAAGTGTCGCATTGTCCAGAAGCATATTCCCATCGCAAGTGAGAACCCCCACTGGCGATCCAACTATGCTTTCAAGCAACTCCTTTACATCAAGTATGGTGTAACTCATATTCACTTGCATTTTCACAACTTCTCCGTTTAACAGCTTCACTGAAATCTGAAACATACCCTGGGGAATGAAAACCACATGAAGCGTTGCCCCCCCACGGATCTCAAGAAACGCCAACGTCTTGTCTTCTTCAAGCAGCTTTCCTGCATGAACCAAAGTGTGGCTATAGGAAGGGATGTTTTCTCTGGCCTCGATTAAAGCCTCGATATTCTGAACTGTGTCTTTACTTCTAGCCTGAACTAATACAGTTTTATTTGTGCGTAGTATACTGATAGTTAAGTTCATGGGTAATGCATTACTAACATATGCATTGAGAGTGGAGTTAGTAGAGATGCCATGATCCACCATCTTGCTGTCATTCTTAAGGTGATTGCCGTTGTAAAACATTTCCTGCATGCATTCTGGTATTCCTTCTTTCTCATATACTAAGGCTTTGACCCCTCCAACTGTCATACATTTACTCACCTTTAAGCTGACTGTTTTTAAGATTCTCAAGCTTACATCTATCTGTTAAAAACAAAAGCCAAATTAAACGCTACGGAGTATTTAATTTCAGTCTAATAAGTACTGTATATATATATATATATATATATATATATATATATGATGTTATAAAACCATTCCCCTTGGAATTCAGTCCCTCTTCCATAATATTTTGACTTGCACTTGCATTAAAAACGTGAAAAGAAAGTGGTTGGGTTGTGCACAATACATTCTTCCAAAGGAGTTAACAAAGGCAGTGTCTAAACTTGTTTAAGAGTGAGAGGCAACAGGAAAATGCCACACATAGCAGATAAATGTGTAAAAGGCCATCAGCTCTTCAAAGGCATAAGCCCAGGCAGACTGTTTTTATGTGTCTCAAGCTTACATGTATCTGTTAAAAACACAAGTCAAATATGCACTTTAATTTCAGTCTATTTAAGTACTGTTTATGCTATAAAACCACACCCTTTGGAATTTAGTTCCTCTTCCATTTTGATTTGCAGGTACATTAAAATTTTGAAAAGTAAGTGGTTGAGTTGTGTACATTAGAAGGGAGGAAGTAACATTAATAACCATCATTTTCATTTTCATTTACCCCAGTGCCGCAAAGGCTCCCCACCTACGGTGGAGTAGGGGGGGTCGGATGTACGCAGTCTTACCCCTGCACTAAAGCACAGAGAGACTGTTTCCGGATGACCCATAGTGAAAATCGCGTCCAAAATTGCATGGACCGACTGTTGTTTCATAACAAAGAAGCGCAGACAGTTTAGTGAGCCATTTTGCTTTATTGCATCATAATTCAAGCCAAAATATAATGAATCTTTGGCTTCATTGCAAATGATGGAAAAGTAACATTAATAACCATATATGATAAAAATTCATTCTTTCAATGGGTGCTAAAATTAAAGGTCTAAACTAGTTTAAGGGTGAGGCAGCGAAAAAATCTAATAAACTCTGTCTTAAACTTGTATTTGGTTTTATACATGTTCTACCATTCATTTGATCAGTTTTGAAATGTAACAATACTCTCTACATCAAATATATATTCGGAGTATATATAATCATATTTGAATTTGGGTTTTACTCATTGATTAGTTTAACTTTAATATTTGAGCATATGAATATATTGTAATTACTGATTAATACTATTAATCAAAATCTTCGAGAAAGTCAACAAAAGGGATGAAATAGTGATTCATATTTCGCTGGAGCCTGGAAGACTGGTCCCAGTGAAAATAAAACACAAATTTTTGTTACAAAATGATTTATGAAAAACAAATATGGACATAAAACGAAAATAAGGTTTCAGAAAGAGGCAGGCTTCTGATTTTAGCAGCATGGAACTGAAGTAATTGATCATCAAAAACAGGTTCAAGCTGAAAGCATTGGATTACAAATCAGTAATCTGGGTACATAGTTCTAACCTCTTCGGCTTCTTCCCCATTGCTTTGAGGATTGGGATTAGGTCTGGTTGACATGAGGAGACCGACCCAGAGAGGTTGAACTACCAGAGTGACAACCGTGAAGGGACTGAACAACCGGAAACTATAAATAAACAGAACTTTTTTGGGAAGGGAAGAAGCCACTTCGGGCTGGAATGTGTTAAAAGCTTGCTAATGTCGAATGAGTTTTACGAAGTTGCATAATTAATTCAAATTAAAATGATTGACACTATCTTTCATATTTTTTGTTAAATAATACTCAGTACTGTTCAATTTTGGACGGGATTTTCACTATGGGTCATCCGGAAACAGTCTCTCTGTTCTTTAGTACAGGGGTAAGATTGCGTACATCCGACTCCCCCTTAGCACTGGGGTAAATGAAAATGAAATGAATACTCCGTACTATCTTATGAAAGTTTATCAACTCCCCTGAAGTCTCATGTACATATAATATGGCCATGAGCTTTTGTTTAGCTATTGTGATTTCTTTAGCCATGACTTATACTAGTATTTATTGGCAAATTAAACCGTGCAACCGAGGATGGTGCGCTAGATTGCAAAAGGACGTAGTATGCCTGTTTTTTTTTCTTTTGTTGTTAAAAAATGATAATAACTTTTTTATTTTTGATCCTATTTTTATAAAATTTATATCAACATTTTTTATTTTTTTCATGATCTTTCAAATGAGACCAATATTGCTTATGTAATTTTAAGAAATTATCGAACTATTATATTAATGAGTATTGGATTATAAGGAAAATCGAATCTGTTTGGAAGATGATAGGTTTGTGAAATAAAAGATCGAATCTGTTTGGGAGTAGATCAGTGGCCTCAGTTACATTTGATAATACATTGAGTTACATCTTTTTATGAGCGAGTTACATCTTTTTATAAGCAAGTTACATCTTTTTATAAGCGAGTTACATATATATATACACACGAGATGCATTTGACATGCCTGAACGCGAGTTACATATATTTACACGTAAAGTTACATATTTTTACACGTAAAGTTACATATTTATACACGCGAGTTACATATTTATACACACGAGTTGCATTTGACCTGTCTGAATGCGGGTTACATATTTTTTTACGTAAAGTTACATATTGTTACACGTAGAGATACATATTTATACACACGAGTTGCATTTGGCCTAACTGAACGTGAGTTACATATTTTAACACGTAAAATTACATATTTTACACGCAAATGTTAATATGTTAAAATTACATAGGCAATATTGGTCTCATTTGAAAGATCATGAAAAATAAAAAATGTTGATATAAATTTTATAAAAATCGGATCAAAAATAAAAAAAGTTATTACCATTTTTGAAAAAAAGAGAAATAAAAAATAATGAATTCAATACCCTGCTTGCCAAAAACTTATGCCGGTATACGGTGCTCACCGTATACCGGTCATACGGTATACCAACTGGTATTTATTAGTTCGTATATTGTGGGATCATCCCACGGTGAGCATCATGCTCCACCCCCAAAACGACGTAGTTTTACACAATTTTTTTTTAAAAAAAAACACGCGAACAGTAAACGTGCAAACAGTACATGCGTGTACTGTAGCTGTTTTTTTTTTCTTTTTGTCCTGCTAGAATGAATGATGTAACTAGCGTGGAAAGAAATGTAACTCACGTTGATAAAAAATGTAACTGCAAGCAAGTCTAAATATAACTTGTCTAATATGGATTATAATAAATAAAACATTGATTTCAATGAAAATAAGGAATCTAATTGCTCAATTACTTTACATAAATAGTGAATATGTTTTGTTTTTAATATTAAGATCATAAATAATGTTTTTTCTTCTTAAAATCATTTATTTTGCCAAAAAATCATTTTTTCGCCAAAAGAACCATTTTTTTGAAAACATTGTATTTTGTTGTTTCAATAGCAAGAGATTACTTAAATAGTGGATATGTTTTGTTTTTTATATCAAGGTCATAAAAATATTTTCTAAAAAATCACTTCTTTTGCCTAAGAAATCATTTTTTTGCAAAAAAGAATATGTTTTTGCATAAAACTGATTTTTTTGTTTGAATAACAGGGATTTATGATGTGATGTAACTCATGTTATAGAAAATGTAACTCGCGTTAATGGAAAATATAATATAGGTGTATGCAAAATTTAACTTGTTAAGGAAAGTCTAAATGTAACTCGCGTATAAAAAATGTAACTCGCGCTTAAGAAGATGTAAATCCATAGACTATCAAATGTAAAGAATGAAAACAAGGAATCTAATTGTTAAAATTAATTTAGGTAAATAGTTAATATGTTTTGTTTTTAGTATTAAGACCATAAAAAGGTTTCAAAGAAAAATAACTTTTTTGCCAAAAAAATCATTTTTTTTGCAAAAAAAAAAAACATTTTTTGTTTGCAAAAAATTGATTTTTTTGTTTCAATAGTTGGGGTTTATTTTGTAGTACTTATTTTATGTTGATTAGGAATTTTTCTTAATAAATTGGTAAAGAAAAAAGTTTATTTAATTGTAATTTAATTAGTTAAAAATAAATACTAGAAAAATCAAAATTAGTTTTTAATATTTAGATAGAGAGAAGAAAATAATTGAAAGAAAACAAAAAAAAGAAAAATAAAGAAATAGTGCTCCTATGAAATCCGGAGGGATTGAACCCTGAGAGAAAAGAAAGGAAACTAACGTACGTAGTGCTCCAGAGAAAGAAAAACGATGTTGTTTGTGGTACCGGTATACCATGTGCATGGTATACCGGTACCACGGTATAATTTGCGTATATTTATTTAGATGTCATTTGATAACACTAGAATTGACTGAATCTGATGTAGTTTATTAAATCATGACTAATATAACTGAATCTGATAAATTATGAAAAATATATTTAAAATATATTTTATTAATAAATAAAGATAAAATTTTATGAAAGATAACTAAATTCTTTTCCATGGTAAATTTAGTAGAAATTGCTCTAGGTAGGACTAAAGATTCCTAATTTTTACTCATATATATAGTAAGTTTAGTAGAAATTGGCATGAGTTTTACTCATATATAGGTATTCTTCCCATGCACAAATAGGACTACTACATTTTAAACCCTCTCAAATAGGACTAGACATTGATTTCTACCTTAAATACCCCTAAGGGTATTAATTCATAATGAAATGTGTTAAATCATAATAAAATCTTTAAGAAAATGTAAAAAATTTTAAAAAATTGTATAAAATAACAAAACAATAATAAAATATTTATAAAATATTGGGATATTTACATGAATAGGAGTAAATAAATCATGAATTGTTAAAATAGGACTAAAGTTTAAAATTTCCCCAAATAGGAGTTATTATTTGTACTTAGCCACAAATACCCTCAAGCTTAGCAAAACATATTGTCGTTGACAGTAAGCCGGACGGCTGCCAGACCTCTGCCGGACGGCTGCCAGACCTCTGCCGGACTGCCAACCACCGCCAGACCTCTGCCGGACCGCCAACCACTGCCAGACCTCCGCTGGACCGCCAACAGCTGTTGCATATCTGGCTGCCTCCCTCGCAGATCTGTCGTTGCCGCCGTAGATCTGGCCGCCTCCGCGCCCCAGCACCGCCCTTACAGATTTGGCCGCAGTCACAACCGATCTGATCTTCGCCGCTGCAGATTCAGACTCCGCCATTGCAGTTTCGCCCTCCGCCGCCTTTTGTTATGCCAATATTTTATCAGCATGCCATAATAAATCGAGAATGCCATCTAAATGGCATTTTCAAAGGAAAATATGGAATTTTTGAAGAGTAAGAATGCCATATTTTTGACATTTCAGATCGAATTAGGATTTTTTTAACAACCAAATACGAAACAGAGCTTTGGTCCTGCGATGAAAGGATGAGACAAAAAAGGGGCACTTAGAAGACGGAACTGAGGTCTAGAACTTTTTTATCAACCTGTATTTTTTTCGAGCGCCGCCTATTCATTATTTCATCATCTCGCCGTTGTCCATGAGTTTGTCGTCCGTTGCGAAGCTTGGTCTGCGAAATTGAAAACAACTCACCGAGGGTTTTGCCGTTTTAGGAGTTGGCTGGAGCGGACAACTCATTAAGGGTAGAATAGGAACAAAACGGAAATTTAGTCCTATTTAGGTTTAAAAATAAAAGGAGTCATACGCTTGCACATTCCATCTTCATTACTCCTATTTATAACAAAAAAGTCTAAAATATTTGAAAAATGTAGTCCTATTTGTACACTTTGACCACTATTTTGTCCTATTTAAGTAATTCACCAATTCAAACATAAAAGTTGCTCTGACCTCAATGTCTGATATTTGTAACTGATTATTATTTAGCATGACATCTCACTTGTTTCATCGATCTCTGCCTTCATTTCCACCCTCGACCTCTTGCGTTACATGTGACTTATCTTAATTCAAACGATCATAAATTGAATTGGTTATATGACTTGAAATATAAATCTATCTCTTAACTCAAACCGTTATGAATTCAACAATTTGCTCAAGGGAAGCAATCTCTATATAAGCCTCCAGCTCGGTCTTCCTTTTCAGCATCACAACATACCTCAATCAAGACAATTTCATCCCCTAAGATTGGAAAGAGGAAGCTGTGTAATTGTTAAGTTTAATTTCACCAATTAATTTCACCCCCTTAAGAAAAGTGAAGTTATCAAATTGGTAAAATTTGAATAAAGTGAGTTGTGTGATTCTTCCCGTTTGATATCCGTACATGACTTGTTCAGGGCGAAAATGCATCCTAAATGGATTAGGATAGTTCCCGAAACAGCGTAGGCATTTTTTGGTTTGATACACTCCTAAGTTGCAGAAGTAACAATTCAGGATGAAGGTGAAAACGTTAATAATTTTAAAATTTCGATTAATAACGTTTTTAATGAAATACAATGGAACAAATGTCGATATTAATAATATATTTTCATATGTCATATGATCATATCCTGATGTCCATAGATTTGTCAAAATGGAATGAAACAAATAGGTAGTATTAAATCACTAGAAAAATACGATGTTTTTAGACGGTTAGACCAATAGTTCAAACGGCAAAAAACATAAAACATGTAAGTTTAATTTAAAATGAATTTTGTTTGCAATAGCAATAAGAAAAATGAAATCATAATATATAAAGTTTGACTTGCAATCCCAATGTGTTTATCAAATACTCAAAAATTGATTATGAAGAGACTTATTCTTCAATAGCTGATACAAGTACCATAAGAACTTTAATTAACATGTAGGTTTTTGAAAGATGGCAAATGTGTTTAATGAATGTAATGTCTACAAATTTGTTTATTTCACTTGATACAAAATTATTTACAGCTTTCAATTTTGAGACTTTTTTTACATATAATTGGAAAAATCGTTATATGGATTAAAACAATATGAAACGTATGTGCTTTCATTTAGTGATCCAAACAATGACTCACCATATTTGCAGTTAGGGGAATAGGGGCAGTGCCAGGGCACTGAGCCAGGCTAGGCTAGTACAAAAAATATATTTGAATTTTTTTTTTACACGAAATCTTTACCCAAAAAATATAGACATTTTTAAAATTTGGGCTGAGTCAGGGTTAGGACTGACCCTCCCCTAAATACGCCCCTGATTGCAGTAGATGATGATTATACTACTATATCACTGAAACTCTTAATGAAATATAGAATATTGCAAAATATATATTGAAATAATTTGAAATGAAAGCCTTTGGGAAATGATGTTTTTATTCATCAATTAAATTATACCGAGAAATTCTTGAAGCGAGGTTACATGAATAAAGTACACCCACCCCATTCCCCAATGGCCATTCAATATCTCAATGTGCATGAAGATACTTTTTCACCTTGTGATGATGATGAAGCCCTTGGTCTTAAAACACTACGTAGTATATTTGAGTGTTATTGGAACATTAACGTATTTGGAAAATAATACTCAATCATATAATGTTTTTGTGTTGTAAAATTGTTAGCTCCGTATAGCTGCCCCCAACAAAAAGACATTAGAATGACATCAAACATATCTTTCAGTGTGTTAATGGAACGTTTGATGTTGGTTTATATTACAAGAACAATGCATATGCCACATCGATTCATTAATTGGTTGTATCAAAGCAGAATGTTAGACTCATCCATAAAATGCAAAATCATAAACATGCTATTTATTCAATTATGGTGATACCACTATTTTGTAAAGATCGATGAAGCAAATAATAACTGTCAAATCGGCAAATAACACAAAGCTAAATGCTTTTTATGAGGGAGGTTTAGAGTGTGTTTGGTTGAAATCAATAATCCAGAGTGTGTTAAGCAAAAGTGAAGGTTGTGGTATGAGTATACCCTATCGGAGCACGAATATATTCCAAATGGAAGAAGGCTAAATCTGGAAGGAAGGAAAAATATACTTAAGTATTAAAGTCATTTAAGTCCCATTTGAGTATATAAGTAAGAATTTATAATTGGTATCTAATTTTAAGGCCTTGTCTGATGTAGTTTGATATGTTTAAATGTGGTTTGATCTGAACTCATTAAATGTGATAGGGTGTATGTTGTTGTGTGTGTATTTTACAACCGTCAACTTTTGTTCTGATGTGATCTATTTAAATTTGGTCTAGTTTGATAGAACTTTTGTTCGGAAAATTTTAATGTAACATATTCTTTTAATAGAACTAAATACGACTTACTTGAAGAACAAAATATATTTAATTCTATTTTTTGAATTTTGTGTATATTTTAATCTTATATTGAATCATTTTTTATTAATAATTCGAGTGATAAGGTGTAGGAAGATATACCAAAATTATTTTTCGATGTGTAGCTGGATCGATCGCGAGTTCGTATAACGTGGGATCATCCCACAATGAGCACCGTACTCCTGCAACCAAAATGACATAGTTTTGCACTTTTTAATAAAAATTTCCACACGTGAACAGTACACACGTGTACAACAACTCTTATTTTTTTCTTGTCCCATTAGCAGAGTGATGTAACTCACATGTAAAAAATGTAACTCACGTTATTGATCAATGTAACTCAAGTTCAGTCAAAATGTGACTGAACTTTCATGTATCAAGACTCTTTTTCATTATTTACATTGAAATCAATGTAAATAGTGTATATGTTTTGTTTCTAATATATCAAGGCAATAAAAATGTTTTTTTATAAAATTAATTTTTCTTTGAATCGCAAGGGCTTATTGGATTTGTGTAACTTGCATTGTATTGTGGTGTAACTTGCATTATGAAAAATGTAAATAACATATAAACATGATGTAACTTGGTGAAGAAAGTTAACATGTGACTCACACTAATAGATATGTAACTTGAGATAAATGGAAATGCGAATCATTTTAATAAAATGTAATTTTCTAGGATAAAAAACATGTTACGAAGAATTTACATGGATGGCTACCCGGCTACCCCTCTAGAAACCCAAACCCAAACCCAAACCCAAATCCAATTCCAATCCCAATCCCAATCACAATCCCAATCACAATATAGCAGAGCTTGGCTTCACTGCGCTGGACATGAAGGAAGAAGAGGTCAACGACATGTTGACCAGTATGTCTCACATCTTCCGGTGGTGAGCTTTGCAACATCAAATATATTCGAATACTGAAATACAACATCAGGGCTGAGCACCGCTGCCTCGTGGAAGAGGAGTTGCACCGCTGACACTTCCTTGCTGACGATGTTCACCTATGGTAGATGGGAGATGTCAGATCTGGTCATGACAACTAGCTATTTGGCCGTCAACTGATCGATCGGAATTCGCCGGAGATGTTCACCTTTTCTGCTGTCTTTGGTTGCAACACAACTTGCCATGGGGAATGAGATGTGCGCACCTTCTTTCCTCTATTTTTAATTGCAAAACGACACCGTATGCAAAACAACACAACTTGAAAAGGCATGTTGAGCGTGTGTCGGAAAAACGAAGAAATTAATTGATTAAAATTAACAAAATAGCTAAAGAAAAATAGAAAATAAAACGGAGCAGAATTTGGTCAAAGCTTGGTTACGCACGATATCCTTAAAACATATTTGTTACCTCCCTAGGTGCTAGAAGCGTTTCAACGATCGTTCCCCAGAATACGATGATTACGAACAATTGTTTGAGCACAAAAAAAAAATCCAGCGAACGGAAACCAAGCAAGAACACTAAGGAATTTTTCGAAATACTGGAGGTGTGTTTTAGGTCAAAACGTTTGTGCTAATTGTGGTGTGAGTTGTATTGTTGCAAAACACTTGCCATGTATATATAACGACAGAGTTGTGGTGTGTTAACTAAGCTTTAATGGACCTGAACGTTGGACATAAATGACTAACACGTTGAGCATTAATATGTCGAAAACTGTCCATTTAAAGACGCATTAAAACATAAGAGCGTTGGACAATAAATCTCGTAACGGCTGAGAACCGTTCAGGTGTGCGACCAGAACATCCCCAGAACTAGTGTAAGGTGTTATGGTTCTGAAGTCACCAGAACTGCTCTGTGGCCTTCAGGTTTGGAAGCCACCAGAACTGCTCTCTGGTGTGTACAGAACAGAAGGGTTCTGGTTCTGTTGCGATTCTGGAAATCTAAAAATGTAATGGGAAGAAGCAAAAATTAAATCATATATTTGAATGATAGATTTTCGGACGGCATTCGTGTCCGCGGGTCGCCCGCGCACGGAAGTTGCAGTTTTTATTCTCCATTTTTGGGATTTGATCGACAGGGAGTGTCGATCAAAGAGAGTCTTTCCCCTTAGGAATCTTAACTCCTTCAACGGGGCTCCTTTTATAAAGAGGGGAAAATTCCTTGGGTTTTTCCGGTGTTGGATAAATCCCACTAGAAACTCATCATTTTCCCAATTTTTTAAGTTCAACGAGTGAATTTCGAGAATCAATTTTTCATTCACCCGTTATCTATTTTGAATGTACCATATATCCAATTGTAGTCCTTAACAAGGACAATCTGATAACACTTTCATTCACGCAATTTTAACACATTTTTCTAATAAGGCATTCGTGTCCGCGGGTTGCCCAAACACGGAAGTTGCAGTTTTTATTCTCCATTTTTGGGATTTGATCGGCAGGGAGTGCCGATCAAAGAGAGTCTTTCCCCTTAGGAATCTTAACTCCTTCAAGGGGGGCTCCTTTTATAAAGAGGTGAAAATTCCTTGGGTTTTTCCGGTGTTGGATAAATCCCACTAGAAACTCATCATTTTCCCAGTTTTTTTATTTCAACGAGTGAATTTTGAGAATAAATTTTTCATTCACCCGTTATCTATTTTGAATGTACCATATATCCAATTGTAGTCCTTAAAAGGGACAATCTGATAACACTTTGATCGAACCCAAATCGAAAGTGAACCTCACTCAGAATATTATCCTAAATTGATCGTTTAACGCAAATTTAACACATTTTTCTAATAAGGCATTCGTGGTGAGGGTATGGCTATCGCACGGCATAATTTGCGAGCTGGATCTCACATTTGACCCAAAACACCAAGCTCTTCCAAATAGATTCCGATTTAACTTAACGTGCTCCGTGGGTCTCTACATTATTGTTTTGGGAAATACGGATTGATTTTTTACTCAGCCTAATTATTCGAGTTTACTTTGTTCGTCAATTTATCCATCAATTTGCATCACGTTACCGTCAGCAAAGACACAGTACTTCGATCTCATTCTTTATGTATGAAGTTCTTCTGCTGATTGCTTTCGACAACAGAAGCACCTGTTGATTTCGATTCATTCTAATTTTCTTCTTCCAATTTTAATGTGTTCGAGCACAGCCAGAAATTACTGCTTAGTGTTCATAGAAGCTAAGGATCAAAACTAAGGATCGACTCATAGACGGGAATCACGGGATATCATGACGGTCTGGAGTCGGCCGATAACCGGCGGCTCAATCGGAACCCAGGCCGTGCCAAATTCGGGCCGCCATTTTTATCGATATCAATGCGAGCAAAAAGCAAAATCCCCGCAGGTAATCTCCCGATCCCACGGCGGTCACCTGTTGATGCGACTGGGGCAGAATGGGGTCAGAAGGAGGCCGGGAATCGTTCTCAGATCGACGGAGACAATGCAATGGGCGGTCGGTTCCGCCACCGGTTACGAAGGTGCGAGAAGGAGTTGCCCGTGTGCATTTGGAGATATTCGAGGAGCGGAAGTTGTTGAGGGGAAGGATCGAGGGAAAGGCGGTGACGGGCGGAGGGCGGAGGTGTTGGTTGCAGCAACCGCTACAGTGATCCTCGGAGTAGGAAATCGTGTCCTCTACAAGCTCGCTCTTGTCCCTCTTAAACAGTATCCCTTCTTCTTGGCTCAACTCGCCACGTTTGGGTATGTGACTTTTTTTTTGCAAAAGTTCGGGTATGTGACTTATCTTTGCACATGATGTTTTCTTTTTGAATTGTTTTTAGTTTCACGGGAGACTATATCAAACCAGACTAGATCATATTTAGACAGTTATAAAATACACAGAAATCAGACCAGATCATACTTAAAAAGATTAAACCAGATCAGACCAGGGACTATCAAATTTCAATCCAAAAAAACATCATTAGTATGTGACATTTTACGCCTTACAAGTGTTTATCCTTTTAAGTTTTTGACCCTCTTACATTCTTATGTTAAGTACTATTCAAATATAAAACATTGTATAATTAAAGTTACTTATTTTATTGGGTTGGTTTTAGGACGAAATCCCAATTTTAACATAATATAAGAGAAGATTGATTGTGATTTGACTTCTTGTTTAGCATTTATGATTTTCGATTTACCGGCAACTTGTTAAGAGTCGATTTGGTTTATTTATACATCAGGATATTGTCCAGTCCAATTTGGACCGTGTTAAAGTCGTGTTAAATTATTTTACCTTTTGAAAGGAACTCTGAATCTTAACCTCTTATTATCCATATTTATAACAAAACCAATTTTTATAGTTTTTTAATGTGTATAACTTTATTCTGTAGTTTTAATTGCAATGTTGTATAGTAAAAATAGAGGTTGATTTGTTTAATGGAATCTAAATTTTTTAATATAGTTTTAATTTTTATAATTTTATATACATTCCCTAGAGTAATCCACTTAAATTTAAGGTTGTTTGGTAAAAGAGTTCGGGGGAATCGACTGAAACTGTTGCAAATTTGCAATGATGAGGTTTTGGCTGATGTGGTTGAATCTGCTGAATTGTGGAAGTTATAATTGTATTAAAAATGATTAAAATTATCATCTACGGTTAATATTTAAATATTACTTAAATAAGTGAATGATGAAGCGTTTAAGGCGGATAAGTGGAAAAAACAAAAAGGCCATTAATACCGAGTATGTGATTGAAATAAGTGAGAGAACAAGTCTAAAGTGAGAGAATATAAGTGATAGAATAAGTCCAACCATTATATACGTAGCATTATACATAAACCTTTTTTAGCCCGGTCGCAAACAATTGCATTCTTTTAAAACGAGTGACTTCAAAATGACTGCTCTCTCCCTTCCGCGCAGTAAGGTTCTCGTTGACGGTTTACGATAAAGCAACTTGATCCATGTTCACACTCTGATTATTTTTAGTAAATAAAATTAACATATTCGGAAATTACATTAAAACCGCTATAAAGCCTGATAAAAAAATGTAAATTTGATAAAAGAAATTTATTTATAAATTAAAAGATTAAATATGATATAATGGGACAGAGGTAGTATCAAATTTCTTATCAATTTTTGGAAAATATGTCACAACTCACTTACAATAGAGACTACCTTGTATCATAATACTAATAATTTTAGCTTAAACACTTGTCATTTTTAACTACTAATCCCTCTATCCCTAATTTTTATTCAATAGTACAAATTGTACGTGGATTAAGATAGTGAGTATATTGTGTGATGGAGCTAAAGTTGTGCAGATGAGAGATAAATGTTCAAGAATGTGTAGGAATTGATGTAAAACATAATTTTTTATAAAAAATGGAAGTTTATTTTAGGATGCTAAAAAGAAAGGTTTATTTTGGGACGCCAAAAAAGGAAAGTTGGAGGTTTTTTAGGGTAAGAGAGAGTACATAGTTTGAGAAACAAAGCAAGTGTATTTTAAAATTTACTTGGTAAATAAAAAAATAATGTGAATGGTAAAGTAGGCCATTGCCGCTGCAGATCTGGTCGCTTTCGCCACAGTTCCGGCCAGATCTGACCACCGCAGTTCTGGCCTCCTCCACTGCAGATCTGGTCACCGTTGTAGATCCGATTCGTCGTTGTAGACCGCCGCCGTTGTCGTCACCATCGGACTAATTCCACCACCAAGAGACTGATCTTGTTTGTGCAAAGCGACTAAGAAGGCAATTATTTACTCTATATTAGGAAAGGCAAATATGAGATAAAAAACTTATTGGAGGAATAAAAATATACTTATTCCTATTTAGAATTTTAAGCAACAATTTACTCAAAGGCAATAAGTATAACTCATAGAAAAAGATGTTTGCTTTACGACTTTACGGCGCTAAATGAAGACTTTCTTTATTGATCTTTTACGTAAGAATTATTTATGTGGTGATAAAGCATTTTAGGGCAATTATTGATGAGAATAATGGAATGTCAATTATTATCGCCTTACAGGCTTGCGTAGAATGTTCAAAGAGTTTAATTTATTGCCAGTATTGGAATTGGGTATTTGGTGATATGGCAGGGACAATAGTCCTTGTCGCACAGGATGACAGCCAGAACCACATGATTATGTCCTTATTTTCTAAAACAAAAGATACACCCGGCTCCCAACACCGATCGGACGGTACGTTGGGAGGATGTAAGTTACACTATAATCACAATCTCACAGATAGAAAGTGTGGCTCTATCCCCGGTACTTGCAGAGGCCTTATGCATTTTTTAGCATAGTAACCTTTCATCGCAGTTGCCGAGATTTGAACCCGAGACCTAACCCTTGTGACACTCCCTCGCTACCAGTTGAGCTACGCTCACCGGTTATGTCCTTATTTTCTAAACGACATTTCAAGATCACGTTTATTAATATCTACTTTGTGTTTTATTGACCCTCTGACCTCATTCTGTAAACGTTAGCTCGGGATGAAATGAGTTAAGAAAAATTCCTTTTGTACACGTTTAGTACACCTCCGTGTCTTTGAGAGTTTTGTTTTTTGTCTGTATATCCCAAACAAAAACTGACTTGTTTTGTCTGTAGAATTTTCCACATACAAAACAAGCCGGTTTTGTCTGTGAACTGGGATTCACAAACAAAAAAACCTCTCACATACACAGAGATGTATTGGTGTGTGTAAGAACGTGTACACCAAGAATTTTTGAATGAGTTAATCAGCCATTCTAAAACTCCTACCTTGCAAAAAAACTCCTACCTAGGGGTGTAAATGAGCCAAGCTGCTCGCGAGCTGCTCGTGGATCGCTCGAGAAAAGCTCGACTCGAGTTTGGTCATATTAAGCTCCACTCAAGTTCGGCTCGACTCGAGTAGTTAACAAGCTCAATTCAAGCCTATTTATTTTAGAATCGTGGCTCGCGAGCCGGTTCGCGAGCTTTTGTGTCATATTTTATATATAATACGGAGTAATTATATACTCCGTATGTAATGATATACTACCTCCGTCCCATTAGAAGGTTCCCGTCCACTATTCACATGATCAACTTAAATCATTTTTAATCTTTTACTTTATAAATCAAATTTTTATCAAATTTACATTTTTTTATCAGACTTTGTAGCGGTTTTAATGTAGTTTCTGAATATGTTAATTTTATTTACTAAAAATAATCAAGGTGTGAACAAGGATTAATTTGCTTTATCATCAGTCAAGCATCGTAAACCGTCAACGGGAACCTTTTAGCGGGACGGAGGGAGTGTGTGTGTGTGTGTGTGTGTGTATATATATATATATATATATATATATATATATATATATATATACAGGGTGTGGTTCCGGTGAGAACACTCCTTAACGTGAGAAATGAGAACACTCAAAAACGATGCACTTTATCATTCACAAAACTGCACATTTATAGTTAAAGTAATGCAAAATTCTAATGTGCACATTTACGTTTAAAATTTTGCACAGATGAAATGCACATTTTCCAATTTTTTATATGCACGTTTCTGTTTTTCATGATGCACAATGCTCAAATCCAAAGCTCCAGAATCATTCTCATTTCTCTCCTAAGATGATATTCTCATTTGATCCTTACCCTATATATATATATATACTTTTTTTGGAATATTGATTCTGAGTTAGGACTTGCATTTTCAGTACTTATCACGTAATATTTATTGACAGTAAAATAAAGAATAAAAGTGTCAATTAAGGAGATATAAAATAAAAATGAGAATGAATAAGTACACATATTATATTTTTAGCCCGAGTTCGATCAACTTATTCGACTTCAAACCTATATAAGTAATCAGCAACCGAGCTCGAACAGAGCTCGAACTGAGCTCGAGTTGAGCTTGGGTCGAGTTCGAGCCCGAATTATTTAACTCGTCCAAGCTCAAGATCGAGCTCGAGCTCGTGAATTTTTATCAAGCTCAAGCTCAAGCATACCTATATTCGACTCGGCTCGGCTCGTTTGCACCCCTACTCCTACCTTGCCTAGAGTCTCTAAAACAATTGATGATGGTGATAGATTCATAACAACAACAACAACAACAATAATAATAATAATAATAGTAATAATAATAATATACAGAGCCCGTTCGTTAGCACTGAAATTGGCTGAATTGGCTGATTCTAGTGAAATTTATGAAGTTTTGGTTGGAGTGCTGTATTGGCTGAATCTGCTGATTTATGAAAAAATTATATTTCAAATACTTGTTATTAATAAATAAAATTAAAAAATATATATGTAAAGGTAGCTAAAATGATACTCTACGGTAAGTTCAGACAATACAGCCAGAAAAGTAACTTCAACCTTACTTTTTCTTATTATTACGCAATTCAGCGCACATAATCAAAAGTTACATGTCTGGTGAAAAAACTGGCTGATAAGTCTGATAAGCCGAAAAATGGGGCTACCAAACGGGCTTACAGATTAACAACTATAATCGTCCCTCCATTTCTATTTGAAGTTTTCATTTTCCTTTTCTGAATATTCATTAAAAAGTCGTGTTTCTTTGATAAACAAAATAGTGATAAATAATGTCAAATAATATCAAAACAGTTTCAAATAGTGAAATCATGTCATTTCCTTAAGGAGTGTTTGCTAAAGATTAAAAATTTCAAATAAGTGTTTTTCAGCTTTTTACTTTAAAAAAGATGAAATGAGTGTTTTCAAATGACATTTTATGCTTAAATTAATCACTTAAAAAGTTAAAAGCTAAGAGCCCGTTTGGTAACACGAAAATCGGTTGATTCTGCTGGAACTTATGAAGTTCTGGCTGAAGTGGTTGCATTGGTTGATTCTGTTGATTTAAGAAAAAATATTTTTAAAATATATTTTATTAATAAAATAATGAAAAAATTATACCCCCTCCGTCCCTTAAAACTTTGTCATCTTTCCTTTTTGGGACGTCCCAAAAAACTTTGCCACTTTCCCTTTTAATCAATTATTTTATGGTTTATGTTATTTCTCTCTCCTCTGCACAAACCTCAACCACACAGTTTTTACTTTATTATTCTCCGTGCCGGTCAACTTTGGCAAAGTTTTAAGGGACGGAGGTAGTATGTAAAAATAGCTAAAATGGTCATCTACAATAACTTCAACCGATACAGCCAGAAAAGTAAACTTCAACCTCACTTTTTCTTATTATTACACAATTCAGCACATCAAAACAAAAGTTACATGTTTGGTGAAAAATTTGGTTGATAAGCCTGATAAGCTGAAAAACAGTGTTACCAAACGACCTCTAAAAGTTGGAAGCAAGTTGAGAGGTGTTTTAAACTGCTTTTCCTTTTTTCTATTACACAAAAAGTATTTATTGTATCAAACATTATCAACTTTTAATTTTTCAGAATCACCTTTTTCTCAAATACTATCAACTTTTATTATTAATCACTTTTCCCAAAAATACTTTTTAAAAGTAGAAGGAATTACAAATACTTCATAGTGCAAGTCAAGCGAGAACTTTGAATAGGAACGGATGGAGTAACAATACTCCATAGTAATAATACTCCCTCCGTCCCAAAAACAACTTCACAGTTTGACTAGCACACATATTAAGGAAATAAACTTACTCGGGGGTAAATTTTACTGTTTGGACACTATTTGGACACTGTTTGGACATTATTTAGCGCTGTTTGGCATTGTTTGGCACTGTTTTGATGTAGATAATTTGCCAAATAAGGAAGTGGGAAGAAGTGTGAAGTTAATTTTGGGACATCCATTTAAGGAAAGAGGAAAGTTGTTTTTGGGACTGATGGAGTAGTAGATCATGTCTAGTGTTTACTCCCATCCTTTTATTTATTTCCGACCGAATAAAACCGAGTTTAACTCACCGAATTACGTCCAAAAGGTTGAATCCCCAACCCCAAGGGCCCCTCACCCCGACCCGACAGGATGGTGGGGGAGTAAATCACGGTGACTCAGTCGGCAAAGCGGCAGTAGGCTTTTACCCGTGCGCACCAGAGGGCCAGCCTTATTTCAGGTTCTGAAAACCCTCTTTTGGCCGCTGCGGGATTCGAACCTTGGTCTACGTCCAATTTTTCCCATCACTCGACCAACTGAGCTACCCGTGCGGGTAACTCACCGAATTACAGATTCAGGTTGAATGAACAAAAACCTGCCACCCGAGTTACTCCCAAAATTATCTTTCATTCTCTTATTTTTCAATCATTTTTCAATCATTTCTATCGAACAAGAAGTGGACTCTTTCTTTCAACCCATTTCTCTCTTCCCCCTTCTCAATTCTCATCTACATACAACAATGGAGTATTATAAAAGAATGCACGTTGATAGAATCTGATCTAGTGATATGGGCCTCCGAAAATGCGACAACAATAAATGCTAAAGACTGTGGTTGTATTGTTGGTCTCATATTGAAGTGAAAAGAGTGGGGAGAGAAATCTTTTACCACGCATGGGCATTTGAAAATTTGATAAAAAAAAAATAAGTCAAGTGTACATGTTTGTGACAATATACTCTTGATATTGGCAAAAGAATGTATACCTAGCTTGACAATTGGCAATTTGTCACATTTCCGGTATTCAAATTTTGCAACCTAGAATTTGCCTCTAGTTACTACATGCACAGATATGATGTTGAGGATAGATAATAGAGTAGAAGAGCAAAATAAACCAAAGGGCTGTTCTCTATCATATATTCAAACTTATAGTCATTCTTGACTAATAGATTGTTGTCCCTAAGGCTTTATTAGCACCTATATACAAATATAATTGCCTATTGATCTCACTAGAGTAAAAATACTGTCGAGGAAATTCGTTTAAGGAATATTAATCAATTAAAAGCATGTTGTCAAAATGAGAAGTTAGCTACTTACTCCATCCGAAATCCCTTCTCGGTTGGACATCCAAAAATGAGAAATTAGCTACTCACTTATTGGATAAACAATATTAAGTATTAACCACACAAAATGAGACATCCAAAAACAAAAGTGGGTTGAATTGTGAAAGTTCCCAGACAAAGGAGTTTTTAATCATATATGGGATACCAATTTCTTATCCCTTATTCTATTTTTAGTCTAGTGAGACCGTTGGGCAATTATATATAGGTGCCAATAAAGCCTTGGGGACAACGTCAAAACTTACTATAATTTCCCATATATTTTAGAGAACCATCCTTCATTTTATACTTCTCTTCTAGACTTCTAGTCTATTATCCTCAACAACGTATGCATACATGTATTAACTAGAGGCACAAAGTATGTGTTAAAAATTTCTAGGTTGTATTGTTTTCACTACCTTTTCCATCATTTTTAATGGAGCCAGACTTGTTTTTTGGTCTGAGAATATGATGGAATAAAGCAAAATGGCTAACTAAACTGTCTGCGCTTCTTTATTTTGAAGCAGCAATCAGTCCATGCAATTTTGACGCGATTTTCATAATGGGTCATCCGGAAACAGTATCTCTGTGCTTTTAGTTCAGAGTTAAGGTTGTGTGCATCCGAACTCCTTACCCAACGTAGGGGGAGCCTTTGCGGCACTCAGATAAAGTTGTTGTTTATTTTCACTACCGGAAACTGGATTCTGACAAATTGCCAATGTAGAGAGCCTTTTTGTCAAAAGTGCATTGTTTTGGAGTAAATCTAGGTATACATCCTTTTAGAGTAGAGTTTGTGGCACAAATGGGAGCCCTTGTGATTAATACGCTCCTAACTAATCAAGTAATCAACTATAAACCTTATTCTGTATGTTTTAGCAGGCCTCCATTTCTTTGACTGTATTTTTTGTGTTGATGCTCGTCTGCTTTTGCAGGAGCAGGTTTTTATAATGCCTTTCTAACTAGCTTTTACACCACTTTGTACCCCCAACATTATGTTTATTCAGGCACACATACACGAGACTCATGTGTGCACAAAAACACGAAGGGGTGTTTTGTTAGAACAAAAATCATGTGTACATTTAACATTGTTGCTCATCACAAAAACTCAATTTAGCAGATTGAAGTCATTACACAAACAGACACGCGGGTTTGTTGCCCTTGATGTTCTACGTCTCAAATAACCTTTTGTTTTGAGTGCACACCAATTAACAAGTTTCCTCCCATTCCTGTGAAAACAATGAGTTTGCCTCTAACAATGTTTTTTCTGAGAACCCTTACAAAAAATATTTCCATTATTTGCAATGGAGCCAAAGATTCATTATTTTTTGGCTTGAGATTATGATGGAATAAAGCAAAATGGCTCACTAAACTGTCTGCGCTTCTTTATTATGAAGCAGCTGTCAGTCCATGCAATTTTGGACGGGATTTTCACTATGGGTCATCTGGAAACAGTCTCTCTGTGCTTTAGTACAGGGGTAAGACTGCGTAGATCCGACCCCCCTTATCCCACCGTAGGTGGGAGCCTTTGCGGCATTGGGGTAAATGAAAATGAAATGAAATGACCCTTACAAAAAATCTGATCACATTCACATTAGATAGCAAACAACTACCCTTGTTCATTTACTTGAGCTTTCTTTTCTTATTCCTTGTTATAGTTGTTTTACATTTTCATTTTCCTCTCTAGGTATGTGCTTGTGTACTCATCTATTCTTTTTATTCGCTACCATACTGGGAAGGTTACTGATGAAATGCTTTCACTGCCTAAAACTCCTTTTCTTGCTGTTGGTCTCCTGGAGGCTCTTGGTGCTGCTTCTGGTATGGCAGCAGGAGGTAACAGATACTTACTATTCATGCTTTTTGGCATTCATCGAGTTATTCCAATCCCCCCCCCCCCTCCCTAACATAATATCGGTCTCCCAGTATTGTCTTTTCCTTTTCAAGGACCTCTTCCCGGATCTTTTATGTTTTCAATACAATAATGGTCTCCCAGTAATGATCCATTTTGGTAGTGGTGGAGCTAGAAATGTCATATTAGGGGAGTCTCAACTTCTGGAAGACTAAAGTTTCATATTTCAAGATATTTTTTTTATACTCCTTAGTTTATTAATATTTGCACATATTTTTAAGGCAAACAATTGGGGGAATGGCCCCTCCCTGTCTCCGCCACTGCATTTTGGTTTAATAACAAGAGTTCAACTGAGGTAGGACCAAAGCTTGTGCATAGTTGCATATTGAATATTGCTTCTGAGGCCATTGAGTACTTGAATTTTATAATTATCTTTTCATTACGGTTGATATGAAAAACAGCATTTCCTTCACCCCATCAGAAAGCCACAAAAGTCATTTGATTTATTTTCAATATTTTTGTCGTTATTTTAGTATTCACATGTACATGACTGTTTCAGTGTGTTGATCATTTTGACATTCTTGTCAATCTATTTGGTCTGTAGTTTAAGTTATATGAGCATCATTTAATATCATAAATATGGAAATTCAACATGCAAACTGATGTACAGTAATAATTGTCAACAGCTACTCTTTCCGGTGCAGCAATTCCAGTTCTGTCCCAGGTGAGAAGTGTTGCCTTGTGTTTTGCTACATGTTCCCTTTAATATGAAACCCCACTCTGTGCAACATGATGTATAGTAAATTAGTAATAATTCTCGGACTTGCTTGTGGCAGCAAAGAACCAGACCTTAGGTCTGGTTGGTGGTTGAGAAAACAAATGGATGCTTAAATGTGACAAAAAACCAACACGTGACATAAAAATAGATTACATGGTCAGAAACTTCCCACCAAACCAATTCTTACTACTTCCATCCCAATATTAACTTCTGTTTTGACTTTATAGTTTTCAGTTTTCACGTAGATTAAGAAAGTGAAAATTATATGGTTGAGAGTTATCCGGACGAGAGATAAGTAACATGAACAACAAGTCCTGTCACAACAGGATATTGAAGTTTATTTTGAGAGGACGAAACATGAAATTATGAAGATAATTTTGGGATGGAGGGAGTATAAAATAGGTAATAGTGTACCTAATTGTGTGCTCCCTTTGAGGCTTTGATAGTTTTCAGAACACACAATAGCGATTGCTGATAAAAGTCTATCTTACTGGGTAATCCAACAAAATAATTTAAGCACCGTTCTTACACAATCTAGGCATATTTTTTTATGTTTATGATATCATCATCATCATCATCATACTCATACTCCGTATAAGTATTGCTATACAATTTTTATATCGCTTCCAGGCTCCTAGCTTGATCAACCTGGCTTACCTAATAATTTGAAACTGAAATCATTCACTTTTCCTTAGTTGAACATAAAGCTCTTATTTAATTTATGCTATTAGCTTTTTTGACATGGAAGGGGGGGGGGGGGGGGGGGGGGGGGGCTTCTTAATTCCTATGTTCATTTGGAGAGAAGCCGTACAATTGATTTGATATGCATTTGTTAAATTCCTATACTTGAAATGAAATGATTGATTAAAATTATTGACGTCTATTGACTAATTTTTGCATTTTTTTTAATATTCGCATCTTTCTTAAGTTGAATATCAGGAAGGGTCATATTGCGCTCATCTATTTATTTCTGCAGAGCTTTCTTGTGTGGCAACTTCTCCTGTCTTGGATTTTCCTTGGAAGAAGATATAGTTTCAACCAATTGTTTGGGTGCTTTCTTGTGGCAATGGGTGTTATTGTTACTGTGGCAAGGTAGACACTTACTTACCTAGTACTCGAAATTGACATCACCCGGATTAAGGCGTTTTCCCTTTATGTCGACTTTATCTTACAAGTCCTTTTGCAGTGGATCTAGTGCTGGTTCTATGATGGGAGCTGGTGTGTTTTGGAGTCTTTTGATGATTGTTTCTTTTTTATTTCAAGCTGCCGATACTGTTTTGAAGGTTGATGATGTTTAATTTTTTTTTTCTCATAATGGTTGTATTACATTCTCTTATCAGCTCATTTCTTTTGTAGGAAATAATATTCCGGGATGCTGCTCGAAAGTTGAAGGTGCTTTTTCTGCAGCATACTCTTTTTGTTATACAATGTCGCACGCCCAACTGCCCAAGCTGATATTCTTGCATTGAAGAGCATTCTAAGTGTTCAAATATTATCTCATTATGATTGGTTGATGCATATTAAGTATTAACTAATCATGATTGTCAAATTGTTAAAACTAATTACTACCCCCATCCCAACTGAAAGTGTCATATTGAGCAAGGTTTAACTTTTTCAAATTTGGTAAGGTACAACAGTCATGAATCATACTAATATTTTAGAAGTTAACTTAATTTATCATATGATGTCTGTGACTATATTTCACAATTTTTTAAGCTAAATACAAGAAAATTTAGATTCATTTAATCAAAGTGGCTCCTTATTAAGGGAAAAAGTACTGTATTTAAAACAAGACCCTTCTTTTGGAATGAGGGGGATATCAACCAATCGGAATGAGTGACACACCATTGACATAGAATATTTTTTTCAATTCTAAACTTACAGGATGATTTACCATTTTACATGAACCCAAAAGTGATATACTTGATCCTAGGCGAGCCCCTACACCTATCATGGATGATAGCAGGAGTATTTCATTAATCTGAAGAGTATAATTGTGTTGGCAGGGAGGTACTGTGGATCTATTTGTTGTGAACACTTTCGGATCTGCTTTCCAGGTCAGATGTTTTGACTCTGTCCTTTTGCATGCTTATTACTCTCTTTCTCTCCCTGTCAATTTTCAACATAGAAGCCTGAACCACATTTTCTCGTGCATGCCAGGCAGTTTTTATAAGCCTTCTCCTACCTTTTCTATCGAAGCTATGGGGCATCCAATTTCTTCAATTGCCAGCATATATAAAAGATGGTGCAGCCTGCTTTTTGAACCTCGGAACCATACAGGGTAACTCATGATGACTTTTACATTATCGATTTTAATAATAACAGAGTTCTCTGTTACCTTGATTTTTTTTATGATTATAGATTTGATAACATTGTCATTTAAAAAAGAACTGCTAAATCACTTATCTTACATGCTTTGGCTAATAGGATGTGATGGAGCACCAATGTTACCACTGCTGTTTGTCATTGTCAATATGGGTTTCAATATTTCATTATTACACCTGCTCAAGATCTCTTCTGCTGTGGTATCTTGCCTTGTCTCCACATTCTCAGGTATGTTCAATTCCTTACATAATGCCGTAAAAGGCATCAACTTTGGTGGATTTTATGTTAAGGGGTTAATAGCAATGATAAAAGTATCGGTGCTTTGAAATATCGATATGGCGATATGGGAAATCTTTGAGGGGTTTTTATATTTCCTTATAACTTTAGAAGTTGCATGGAGATTTTAAAGAAATTCCATCATCCCCATATCGATATCGAAGACTTGAAATACGAAAGTTTCGATGAAAATTTCAAAATATGAGCTATTTTCATCATTAGTTATTAGAAAATCCCTGTATGCGACATTACATGCTTACTAACATCCCTATATATCTTGCTTACAATGTCTCTTTACCCCATTCAAATATCCATAAGACTGCTATCCTGTGGGTCCCATTATATCAGTATTTAAATTCTTCGGGTCCCACACCGTGGCGTAATATACGTATGCTAATAGCATTTCTCATTTGTCTAATGCTGCAGTTCCCATATCAGTGTTTTTATTCACACTTCCTTTACCATATCTGGGAGTCGCATCATCTCTCCCTCCAGGTTTCATATTTGGAGCAGCCATCCTTGTTTTGGGAATGCTGGTTTATGCTTGGACACCGCCACCACCACCACCATCACTTCATGTGGCTGAACCAAACTCCTGATTCTCATGGTCTGTCAAAGTTATGTGGCACTGCAATGCCTTTCCATTGCATATCTGCCATACTCCGAGTGCGAAACGAAGGCAGTTCAATGAATAACGATGAAATCTGGATGTTTCTGACTTTCTGCTGATTTTCAAGCTTTCCTAACCGTCTCTGATCAGTCCTCATCACGAAAAGGTTACAAGATTGAATCAATCAGGCAAGTGAGATTGGGTTTCATCTATCAATCACTACACTTCACACATCACATATACGTATATCATTTACTGTATACGATGCATATACATTGAACTCCCCCATCCTAAAAAGTAAAAAGCTTCAATGTTTCACACTTTTTTTATCCAGAGAAAGAATTCTCTTTGATTATAGGAAACTGTTTTTACATGTATTTCATCGAAACTTCCAAAAACTAGTCACAAGTATGTAATACATTGTTATTAGTTACGGAGTATCACATAAGGGCATAGACGTATGGTTGGTAGTCACAAGTAGCCCAATAAAACGATGTATGGTTTATTGTATCCTTATTTTCTAAAAAAATACGTTTATGTGTACACTTGGGTGGCTAAAATTTAAGGGTATGGTTTTATTTTTACATATAGTTTGCTTTACTTTTTGGTTAAATTTAAGGATATGCTTCACAATAATTTTATTGTTAAAAAGATCAGCTTTGTACCTTGCACTGACATAAATAAATAACTGTTATCAGTTAATTATTTTTGTTTAGTGTGCTCCTTACTAAGCATGCTAGTGTGCTCATATTATTAGAGAAAATATATGAATCACGTTAGCATGTTCACTAAGGAGCACGCTTGCGTGATAAATGGTTGAGATTTTTTGAATATTTTAAATGAATGAACTTAGTCATTCATCACATTACTTTGCTCCTTAGTACGTTTTTGGTTGGACTGAAATTTTCTGATCTGGTCTTGTCTTGTCTAATATGGTCTGACCTTGTCTGGTATGAGACTGAAATAAGTCCTAGTATGAACATCCATAGTGCTACATATATTTTCTCATTATTATTATACGTTTAACATAAGATAAGAGCTTAACATAATACTTCGTATAAGGTTAACCATTGCAACATAAGAACTTAGTGCTTTTTTATTTTGCTACAACGGGAAAAAAATTAAAATCTAAGACTCTCTAATAATTCATTAGCATCATCCCAAAGAATTTGTTTGATCCAATTTGGTGCTGACTCAAGAACTGAAAGATCCTTTAGAGCTTCATGTGCCGCAATAGCGAGCCTATCAGCACATTTATTTCCTTCTCGATAAATATGTTTAATGTGAGTGAACCCGCCATCATCAAGTAGTCTTTCGCAATCAAGAATCCATTTCCTTCTGTGATTGTGAATCACTCTACCCGCTCCTGCACTCAGTGCTCTTTCTGTCCTTGAACAATATTCACGTTTTCCTTTTCCGTAACTCCATCATCCCATAATCATCCATCACTCCATTTTGGAAAAAGGGTCAAATAAGCCCACGTACTAACAAAAAAAGGTCAAATAAGCTCTTATATAGAAGGCTATGTCCGGTCGTCGTCATTTGGGGCGGTTCCCGATGGAAATTTTTTATGCAATTTTTTGAGCATATTATTCTTTAAGTCGCTTTTACTCATATCAAATTTCAGCTAAAACTTCAATCGGGAAGGCATTCAAATGAATTCTTGAAGATAACTACGCAGTTAAAAGCGCAGTTATATTCAAGAATTTATTTGAATGTCTTCACGATTGAATTGTTATCTGAAATTTGGTATGAGTAAACTAGACTTAATGAATAAGATTCTCAAAAACAAATTATCAAAAAATTCCACCGGGAACTGCCCCAAATGGCGACGGCCGGACAGAGCCTCCTATATAAGGGCTTATTTGACATTTTTTTGTTAGTACGTTGGCTTATTTGCCCCTTTTTCCTTTCATTTTAAAACAAACATAATGTGACTTGTTATTTCTCACTATTGTTTACATATATATTTCTAAGAAAGATTTAGTAACTAAAGTTGACATATTTATTCATGAGCAGTATAATCTTATAAGTACAATTAATGATATAGATTGTAGAAAAGTATAAACGAAAAAGTAGGAAAATATGAACTAGAGGATGAAAAAGTAAAGTAAAATTCACTACTTATTGGTTTACTTCTTTTCATCTACAAATTTAAAATATAGTTACTCAAATATGTATGAAGATCTAATTTTATTTATGAGAAATATAACCAAAATAAGTAATATGGTTATACAGTTGTACCCAACGCCTTTTAAAAAATACTACCTCCGTTCCTATTATAACTTCCAAATAGGTTTGACACACAATTTAAGATAATGGGTATTGTGTGGTGTACAGTTGTGCAGAGGAAAGAGAAATGTGTAAGAAATGTTGCGAACCATAAATTCTTTACCAAAAAGGAAAAATGGAAGTTTTAATTGGAACGGACGAAAAAAGAAAGTTGGAAGTTATAATAGGAATGAAGTGAGTACATACTACTAGGGATGGACCGGTCCGGTTGTGACTGGCCCGGAACCCGGCCAAGACCGCCACTGTGTGGTACCAGACCGGCCCAGTTGACCGGGCCCGGGACCAATCTTTAGGGCCCGAACCGGGGCTAGGGGGCAGGCTATAGCCGTTGGAGGGTCCTGGGGGTTGGGGTTGGGGTGGGGGGTAAAAAAACTATAAATACTCCTTGATCTAAACATTTTTCTACACCTATTCTCCAACTCTTCCTACTCTCTAATACCCTCTAATCATCTTCATCTTGTCTTCTCTAATTCTCTCTACACCTAATTAATATATATCATATCTATTTAAATTAGTTATACAATTATTATATCTACTTATATACTACCTTCGTTCTTAAATAAATGCAACACTTTGACTTTTACACTATTCACATGTTCTACTTTGACTACGTTTTATTTATTAATGTAATAATATTATTTTATGAAAAAATATTGTTAAACTTGTCTCATTGTAAATTTTTATAATCTAATTTTTTTTTATTTTTTTTACTAATACAAAATCATTTATATTAATGGTCAAAGTTGTGTCTCGGCAGGTGTGAAATGTTGACCGTTGCATTTATTTAAGAACGGAGGAAGTATTTATTATCTACTTAATATATACTTATTATCTAGTTAATATCTACTTATTATATGCTTGTTATTTACTTATATTTACATATTACGTCTGATTAATATTTTAAGTATATATATTAAAGTATTAAATATTTTAGGATTGTTTAATATTTGTTACATTTAAAGATGAAACGTGGTAGACATTCTGTAGATATGAGTAACCTCCAATGCAACAGAAAGAAGGAGATTGGGAGGAATCATCCTACTTCACGCAAAGGTAAAGGACATATCGGGTCTTCTTCTCAAAGCCGAGATGATTTTGACACAAATTATGACCGGAGAGATGCGATTTACGAGGAAACCCCAAAGAGGTACAAGGCCATCAGCAAACCCCCGACGAGGAAACACTCGATGAAGACGGAAACGATAAGAAAGGTCAATCTCTCCTTATGAAAAACAATTACACAGAATGAAAGGAACGACAAATAGAATGTGGTGGGCAACTTGCTACTGTTGTAACGCAAAAATTTGCTTAGGAATTTCGGATGGATACGAAGGCACAGATAAGAATTTGAAGTATGGATGGACTCGGGCCGGGTGGCCCGACCCGGAACCGGCCCGGGACCGGCACTGTTCCGGCCTGACCCGACCCGGTGGCCCGGTCAGTGACCGGTCCGGGTAGGCCCGGCCCGTGGGTTTTCCGGTCCGGGCTCGGGTCACCCAAAATAAGGACCGACCCGGCCGGGCCAAAACTATTTTTTTTTTCAATTTTTTTTAAATTTCCGGGTTGGGCTGGGTATTTTGGGCCATTTGGGGTGGTTTGGGAGGTTGGGGTGGGAGGGGGTTAATTAGGAAGAGGAAAAAAAAATTGATAATGGGTTCGGCCCCGCCCGGCCCGACCCAGACCCAGTGGTTACCCGGGCCGGTCCCGGGTCCACCACTTCTGAATAGGGATGGACTCGGGTCCGGGCCGGGTCCGGGTCGGGCCTAGGCCCGGGCGGGCTGGCAGTTCAGAAATGGTGGACCCGGGACCGGCCCGGGTAACCACCGGGTCCGGTCCGAGCCGGGCCGGGCCCATTATCATTTTTTTTTTGTTTTCCTCTTCCTAATTAACCCCCCTCCCACCCCCAACCCCCAAACCACCCCAAATGGCCCAAAATACCCAGCCCAACCCGAAAATTTAAAAAAAAATTGAAAAAAAAAATAGGTTTTGGCCCGAACCGGGCCCGGCCGGGTCGGGCCTTGTTTTGGGTGACCCGAGCCCGGACCGGAAAACCCACGGGTCGGGCCTACCCGGACCGGTCACTGACCGGGCCACCGGGTCGAGCCGGAACAGTACCGGTACCCGGGCCGGTTCCGGGTCGGGCCACCCGGCCCGAGTCCATCCCTACTTCTGAACCGCCGGCCCGCCCGGGCCTAGGCCCTGCCCGAACCCGAGTCCATCCCTAATTTGAAGGCAACCCACCCCGATTCCCCGAAGAGTGTGCAAAACTAAAAGAAGTATTTTTTTCCCACTTTTTTAAAATAGGTTATTAACTATATTATCGTACTTCATATTTCAATATATATGCATTGAATGTTTTTGTTTACTTCTTGAATTGATTTTTTAAACAACATTTAAAAAAATAAAGAGCCTGACATGAGACCCGGGTGGGTAGCCCGGACCGGACCGGTCCCAGTGGAATCCAGACCAGTACCGGGCGTTACTCCAAAAAAATTGGTACCGGCCGGTCCAACCCTACATACTACGTAAGTGTACAACATAGTGAACATACAAACCAAATGGAAAAGATCATGTCTGTATTTATTTCTCACTTGTGAAATATAACTTGTGACTTTATTTTACAGATTTATTTTACTATAAACTGAAAAATTAACTAATCAAAAGTTGTATATTTTGTTTACCAACTTAAACTTTTGTTAATATTAGCTATGTTTTAGAGATGAGTAAGCAATTTCTCAGCTGAACTGAGCATGAAATTAAATAGAAACAGAGTTTTTATTTGAAGGGCTCTAGATTAGAAAAAGGAACCAATCCAGTGCCATTCCAATTCCAAATCGTTCCGGTTCGACTCCAGTTCATGAAATAAGTTTAACCACGATCATAACCAAGTATAACCAGTCCAGTTTACCCAGGCAGTTATGAATCAGTTCTTGGGTTGGAGTAGTTAGAAACCATAAGTTTAAGAAATAAGGGAACACTTAATTTGCCTCTAAAGCGGCCAAATAGAACCCATTCCCATTTCTTAATCAAGGAAATGTTCATTTTCAGCCACTGAAAATGCAGAACAGTTGCAACAACAAAATCACAACAGGTAAATTGGTTGCAAATAATTGTAACTTCTCCCACGAAGCAATTACGAAATGATGAAACAGCAGCAACCCGTTCCGGGAAACAGAAAAGTTAAAAGGGAAGAAGAAGAAAATTCAAAGCCAATCTCTTTCTTGAGCCAGCACATGTAAGCAAAGCACTGTACATAATAAATTACAGAAAGCTAGCGAGCCACCCCAATTCCTTTCCTTAGCAACCATGTAACCGCACCTTCGATCTCATTCATTATTTTTGGCCTATAGGAATTCAAAGAACCTCAGATAATGGTTAGAATTCAAGGAACCTCGTACTTCAATCTAGGAAGCCGTGATCCTCTTTCCCTCAAGAACAGCACCTTCTTTCAGTGCAATTTGTGCATCGTTTTCCCTCGACAAGGTGAAAAGTGAAACAGCCTGTAAATAATACGCGACATGCCAAACAGGGGATATGACTTGTGCCTGCACTGCATCATCGAGGGCTTCCTGTGTCATGTCACTCATGAGATATGACAGAGAACGGCGAGCATAGACTGTTGGGGACACCATCGTCCCCACCTGGATAAACTGCAAATTTTAAGAAACTAGATTTAAAATGCGAATATACATGTGTTAGCCAATTCATGATATGTTAACACGCCTTGTACAACACGGGAGATTAGAGACTGGTTGGTAAGTCATTGTTTCATGTTATTAGCAGAAGCCGTGTTAGGCTACGAAGTAGCTCTTAGACATCCCTGATTAAACAAAGGAAAAGGTAAAAAAATAAAAGAAAAGTCTGAATAATCAATAATCTTTCAGTAGTAGAGGCTTCTTTGTTGACTAGCCAGCCAGTAAGTTGTATCCATATGGACATTGGGTATCAGATATTCAGATCAAGTACTTCGTATTAAGAAAGCGAAAACTAGAAAAGAAAAAAATGACCAACACAAAGCAATTGATCGCAACTCTTTATGGGCTTGTTTGGTTCGGGGATCTCAGATGGAGGATAGGGGAGGACTGATTTATATTTTATTCATTTATCTCCATCTATTAGTGTTAGATTAAAAATAGCTATATGATTTCCATATAGGTTTTTGTCATCATTTTATATACAACTATCTAAACGTAGTTACGTAGATATAATTCAAAAAATAAATACCACACCCCTGAAACTAACAAACCCCTAAAACACTGATTCAATAATTGATGGATGATAGGTCAAACCTGTGTGTAGCAGTCTATAGCAGCCTTGAAATCTTTGTGTCGGAAAGCAGCATCTCCCTTCTTCTTTGAGTTTAATGTCTCCTGCATCTGATTGGTCCACATCTGGAATGAAAGCTGTAAACAACATGAATTTGAGTTAAGCATAAACCATGATAAATGGCTTTTACTAATGCACTAACCACTCCACTTTATGATGGTGTGTGTTTAGTTGATGGACCCCATTATTCACTACAACCAAACACACAATGCTATGAAATAAATAGATGGTTGGAAGAAGAAAACCTCAGTAGCTGCTCCTTCATCATCTTTGTAGCCAAGCTTTTCGAGGATTTCATGTATGGCAGTCAAGTCCTTTCGTAAGCAAGCTTCACCAAGTGGAGATAATGACATAGATTCACCATTCATTGGTATACCCATTAATACATGAGATGGCACCTGAATATAATTAAGGTTCCATAGCTTTAGTTAGTCTTGTATTCCATCAACTATAAACTACTACTCAATTTGGTCCACGACTTTCTTCTGGATGCAATTTGATTCACAACTAAGCAGTTGAGACTCAAGTTAGCCTTTATGCATAGCTCTAATTAAGAAGGGTGTTTTGGACTAAATTCAGTCCAAATTACATAGCTGAGGGACGAATTGTGTCCAAAATGGGTTTAAATTAAGTGAACACACAGAAATACACGTCTTGTTTAGAAACAAGTAAGAAGACTAAATTTAGACTCGGATCGAGTCCACATGTCATAGTCGGGGACCAAATTGAGTCTAATAAAATGATGAGGGACGAACTGAGTAATATCTTAATAGCACGCAAACACGAAACGGAAAACATGATAAATGAGATTTTCAAAAAATATAGGATACGAAATGTGAGGGAAACGTATATAAATAAAAATACTCCGTATAAGGATATATTTATACATATTTTTCATATATATATACATACACATTTTTCATTTATACATATCCACATTTTTTTTAATTTAACTTTGTTAGATAACCAATGGTAAATAAGTTTTACATGTTCAAATTTAGATATTATTACATGTTACAACATAATTAAACATAAATTGCAATACTTTCTCGCAATGTATTGCTTTATGAAATATCAGAATGTTGCTAGGAAGAAATCTCATTAATATTTACTAAAAAGGTTTATAAATGCACTACTTTTCATCAAGTACTTAGGTAGAAGCAAATTACTTAGGGAAACAGGTTTCCCAATTCTTCTAAATACAGAAACGGTCCTAAAATGGGAATTTGGAGTTTCCGAGTTTCTGGCAAGCTTCCAAGTTTTCGAAATGAGGAAAAGTAAGCCACGGGAAGTTTCTGTGCTTCATAGGTAATATTGTAGAGAATTAATTGATTACTTTGATTAACATACTCAACACAAGGCTTCTACATCTATTTTAAACAATGTGACTATTCCACTGGTGAAATTTGGTTCTGGCAGATAAAGAACAACTAGAGTTCAAGCTGCTAAAGCAAATACAGTATGTGATTACAAATCATTAAGTCATACTGAAACCATGAAAAGTTGAATTAGAATAGTAGAGTTATATAACAAACCTCAGTTTCTTTCTGAAGAGGCATTAACGCAGCAACTAAAGACTTTGCATTTGGTCGCTCACGAGGCTCATATTGCAAACACCTAGATGCAATTCTAACCAACTCCGTTCCATCATCATTAGAGAATTGACCTTCTAAGCAAGAATCTGTTAGCATCTGAAGATTCCGGTCTCTTATCAGATCAAGGGCCTGAAAGATAAAAGTATAAGGTAAACACAGTGTTGGGTGAAAAACATGGAAATTATGAAATATTGATAGATAAAAGTGGTATTTATGAAATTGAAACTTTAGATACATCTATATATAATAAAGAGATGCCATTAGTCCACTACTTCAGAAGAAAAAGCAATGATCTTTTCTGCATGACAACTATGTGTAACCAATAGGAGAAACTTACATGACTTGGCGGAATGTGTTTGCCACTGAGAAGGTCGAGCAAAAGCGTTCCAAAGCTATACATGACACTCTCTGGAGTTATTCTTCCTAAAAATGTTTCAAATAACAATATGGATGATGTGTCAATAAGAAAACCTGTATTTGGTCTATATGACGAAAACTACAACTCAATATAAAGAATGGGAACTCATTTAAAAAGGAAAAACTGTAAACATTTGAAACGCAAACACTTTAGTGATAGTTTTTACCAGTCCGTAAATATTCAGGTGGAGTAAATGCCAAATTTGTGCTATAACTTTTTCCATCCCTACTGTTTTTCATCAAACCGAAGCACGATAGTCTAGGATTACCATCCTGTGAAATCAATAAATTGTATTAGTTTTTAACCATTCCACATCTACAGGTATCAGGCATGAACGTAATAATGCCCTACGAAATCACCAAAATCTTGGTGAAAGTAAAATTTATATATATAACTTACATCATCAAAGACTATTCTATAAGCATTAAGATCATGATAAAGAGCACGCCCTTTGCTTGTACAATATTCTAGAGCCTGTGCAAGGTATAAGGCAACTCTTAATCTCATTGCCCACTTCATTGGTTGAGTTTCCCCTGAATATAAACATGAATATATACTTTGAGTAACATTGCTCAAGTATAATACACATACGCACATATCATGAACATGATAAAAACTTCAAAAAGTATAAGCACATGAAACATCGGTTCTTCTAAAAGTAGATTTTAATGGATCAAGTATCCTATATTGGTAAAAAAATTACCTTTGAATTGTCAATTTAATTTAACATAATAGATAAATCCTTAAGTTATAATTTGATGGGAACAGCATTTCATCTAATTGCAAATACGGAAATAATTGTAAGGTTTCAGGAAAAAATAACATTTAACGCACATGAAAAGTGAGCTAAAAGTATGCTGTTTCATATGAAGCAAAAAATGCATGCTAGCACCCTTCATGTTTAGAAATGAATCAAGTCAATTAACACTCACTCAGCAAGGAATTTCAAAGCTTTTGCTGCTTTGTTGGTAAAAGTAGAAAACTCTACCAACCCTTAAACTAAATAGCAAAAAATTAAATCTTCATAATGGTGATGGCAATTTTATATTTGAATTTTCAGTTAAGTTTAAGATAAATACATTACTCCTTATAATTTGATCACAAAGTCATTTCATTTAATACCAAAGACATAAATGATTCTAAAGTTTCAGGAAAATATAGAAATATTAGAGGCTCATGAAAATTGTACTATAAAAGTATAGTTTTTCATATGAAGCGCAAAATGCATGCTGGCATCCTTCATTTTTTAAACAGCACCCACCCACACTCAGCAAGGAACTTTAAAGACTTTGTTGCTTGGTTTGTAAAAATAAAAACTTTACCAACCCTTAAATAAATTACAAAGGCAAACTCCTCATAATGACAATTTTAACTAAAAAACTTATCCACACTAAAAATAGGACTTACAGTGAAATAGATGTTTAGCAAGTGTCTCATTGGGCATGAACTCTGCAACTAACAACCTCTCATCACCTTCACAGCAACAGCCAAGAAGGTTTGCCAGTCGATTGTTCCGAAGCTGACCAACCGCCCTTGCTTCTTCCTGAAGATCAAATTAGTAGTTGATCATTAGAAAAAAGAGTACTCTGGAAACAGAAGAGCAAAATAGGCCAGATGTCGTACTTTATAGTAGTAATAAACTAATAACTAACTCACCATAAACTGCCGTGCATCTGGCCATGCAGATCTATTGAAGCGCTTGACGGCTATCCGCCTCTGATTCTCCATTTTTCCTTTATAAACCACATTTGGAGCTTTCTCACCATGCTCAGAAACTATACTCTCCACTGCAAAGTCAGAGGTGGCTATCCTCAGTTGTTCAACTGTGTACTCCCTAAAAGTGGGCAAGTCACTAACTTCATTTGCATCTTCATCATCTGTCAAGACAATTTATGTAAAGCAATGAAAAAAACAGGAACTTGTGCTTAGAAATCAAAAACCAAGCGAAGTTTCACCATACCTTGATTACGATCTTCATGAATTGGCCCATTTTGTCTCTTACAGCACCAAGATGCGAATTTGGAATACTTACAGCCCATTTTTGATGTCCCTTCCCACACCAACGAACTTCTCCCAGCTGTGTCTACTTTTGCAACTCAAAAGGAGTCCATCTGGCTTGACATGTCTTCAATTATTTTATTACCATAATAGCAGATCTATAAGCTAAATGCTGTTTCTAGTTTCTACTTCGAAATTTGGAATAAATATTTTACAAGGAAATTATATCAAGTAACCAATAACAAGCACATAAATCCAGTTTAACTTTTAATTTTTTGCAAAAAGAGAGAGGGAGGGAGAGAAAGACAATCATATCATATCTCACATGTGCGTGTGAAAAGCGTTGAAATGCATTTGAATCTTGGGTCCAAAATCAGAAAAATTAGCAGATAGAGGAAAAGGTTAAACCCAGTATTTTTTTTCTTTTTAGAAAGGGGAAACGAAAGTAATTACCTTTTAGGAAAAGAGATTCAAGTCCGGGTCAACCCACACCCCGCGCTACTCATATCTGATCCCAAAGCTTCGAGAAAGCTTCTTTATCTCTATCTTTTCCAGCTGAGCCAAGGCTTGAACTAGATAAGACCTGATCTAAGAACCAGATATGGGTCAACTTCAAGTCAAAACCAAAGCTCAAACCAAATGCAACCAGAGGTATGAGTGAGCAAAGACAGAGATGCAGAAAGTGTGAAAGGGTTTTGGTTTGATGGGTACAGAGAGAGGAAGGGAGAGGAGGAGAGAGATGCTTCAACCTGCTAGAGAGAGAGCGGGTGAAGATGGGATTGGTCCAAAATGGAAAGAGTGAAGTGAATGAATATATGTGATAGATTGATTCTAGTTTTTTTTAATATCAGAGAGACAGACAGATGAGGGATTCAATAAAGATGGAAAAACAAGAATCAGATGATCGGACTTTCTGTGTGTATGTATGCAATTTTGTGTGACTGTATGGGGGTGGGGGTGGGGGTGGGGTAGGTACTAGGTAGATAAGTAGATCGATCCCCTCCCTATTCACCTACAAGCTACAGCTTTACCCCGTACTACAGCTTCCTTTAACACCATTTCCCCTGTTTTACTGCTCCTTAATCACCCTTCATCCTCTCTTTGTCTTTGTCTTTTCTTTTCTTTGCTACTGAACTTCTTTTTAAGTAATCCGTAAGTAAGCACATACAATGGTAGACTATTAGACTTCAGTTCAAAATTCAAAATTTGCTTCTTCCACCGAATTCACGTTCTTTAAACGTTTCAGTCTAAATTATTTCTCTATCACGTGATTCATGTCATTAGCCATAATCTAACAATATTACATTAACCCAGATGGTAATCTGAGTAAGTCATACAACCGTTTAAAAATGTTTGATTTTGAATTTATAGAGAGTATTCAATATAATACGGATATGTATGTATAACATGACAAAGATAGTGGGGTGTTTGGGGTATTGATAATGTTAGTAGTAGGCTATTCCATTATAAGATTTATGTGTAAAGCTTCTTTGCTAGTTATTATTTGTTCTGTTCCGTTAAGATTGTTTCATTTTGTCTTTTCGGTTATTCCCACTAAGATTATCTCATACCAAATTTGGTAAAGTTTTGTCTCTATATCATTCTTACTTTATTAATTAAATATTAACCACACAAATCACTTTTTATTGGTTTGCGTGCCAAACCCTCTTGTCTCATTGTTAGTGGGACGAGGGAAGTAATATACTCCCTCCGATCCTAAATAAACTTCACACTTTCCTTTTTGGATAGGTCCAAAATAAATTTCATACTTCTATTTTTGGCAAGTTTTCAACACAAAGTTACTCTTATACCCTTACTTTATTACTTACTCGTACTTTACACTCACTTTCTCTCTCCCACTACACTTTATCACCTTTTTGTAGGGATATGATGGGAAAGTCAAACTATGAAGTTTATTTAGGACCGGATGGAGTATAACGTTTCAGACCTATAAACCAGTAAGTATGATGAAACCTTCGAAAATTAAGTCATGTTTTTTTCAGCGTTGAAAACAATAAACATTTACGTTGCACGTTGACAAAATTAAATGAGGTGGATTTTCAGTTTTCGATGACTTCAACCTAACTTCACGGTGTTCGATGAAAAATTGCATAGTTGCATACATGGTGTTTTCCCTATAAGCTTTATCTGTAAAGCTTCTTTGCTTGTCATTAATATATAACGTTCCACGCGTAAATTAAAAACCAGTAAGTATGATGAAACTTTCTAGAATTAAGCCGTGTGTTTTTTTCAGCGTTGAAAACAAAAAACATTTACGTTATGCACTGACAAAAATAAATGAGGTGAAATCTTAGTCTTCAGTGACTTAAAACTAACTTCACGGTGTTCGGTGAAAAATACATACAGTGGTATTTCCATTATAAGTTTTATCTGTAAAGTTTCTTTGCTAGTCAGTAATATATACGTTTCACACCCAAAAATCGGTAAATATGATGAAACCTTCTAGAATTAAGTCATGTGTTTTTTCAGTGTTGAAAATAAAAAACATTTACGTTACGCGTTGACAAAATTAAATGAGGTGGATTCTCAGTCTTCGGTGACTTCAAACTAACTTCACGGTGTTCAATGAAAAAGACATATAGTGGATTTCTTCAGAGTTGAAAGCAAAAAACATTTACGTTACACGTTTACAAAATTAAATGAGGTGGATTCTCAGTCTTCGATGACTTCAAACTAACCTCATGGTGTTTGATGAAAAATACATACAGTGGTATTTCCATCATAAGCTTTATCTCTAAAGCCTCTCATGGAGTATATGGCTCAGGAATCCCTGGCCCACATACTTCCACTACTGTAATCAGGCCCAACAGGTCCAAAATGGGCCAAGCCCAGCAAACAAGACTCCAGACAGCACATAATACGCAAGGGGGAGCCTTCGACCCCATGCCCGAAGGCTTAACATTCATAATTTTGTGTGTTGACAAAATTAAATGAGGTGTGGAATGTCGCAGTCTCGATGACCTCAAAACAACTTCACAATATTCGATGAAAATACATGCAATGGTGTTTAGGGTACAACTTGGACCCCATCATCCAGGACCAAGACCCCCTTTACCACCAGGGTGCTCTCGGCCCCAATAACCGAGAAATATCGGGGAAGTACTATGAAGCCGTATGATGGCTGCACCGACCCCCAGGAACATTTCAGCCGATATCAAAACAACATGTTGATGGTCAATGCATCTGATGAATATTTATGTCGTTGGTTCGTCTCCACTCTCGAGGGACCGGCGTACGAATGGTTCAACGCGTTGCCCGAGGGGAGCATAGATTCATGGCAAGATCTTGTCCAACGCTTCCTCGCCCATTTCGCCGGAAGGAAACGCGCGAGAAAGCACTTTTCCCACCTCCTCTCCGTCAAGCAACAGCCTGATGAAACACTTCAGTCCTTCGTTGACCGGTGGATGAAGGAGACAAACGAGGTCGAGGGTGCCGACGAGCGTACCCTCCTCGTCCTCTTCCAAGGGGTTCTCCACAGCAGTCCATACGCACGGAGCCTCATCACCGACCCCCCAAGATCATACATCAAAGCACTCCAGCGGGGGAGCCTATACGCCGACGTTGATGACCTACACTCCTTCAAGAAGGACGGAGGCCTGCCCTCGAAGAAGACAAAAAACACGCCAGCCCCGAATGCGCCCTCGGCCGGGGGCCGAGACCATGGAAGCCACACCCAGCAGGGCCGGAATGACCGCCAATGGTGCCCTTGACTGGACATGCCGAGGACTCCCCTCACGCACCCGGTGAGCACTATCCTCAACTATGCGGAAGAGTAGGACCTTTTCCCCAAGGACCCTCGGTCGGCAAGGGAGATCTGCGCCGTCCACCAAGGCAGCACTTATTGTCGTTACCACAAAAGCACCTCCCATAATACAGATGATTGTGTCTCGTTAAAGAAGGCTATTGAGCTCTTAATTCAACGGGGTGAGCTCCTCCAATTCATCAAAAATACCCCAAGGAAAAACGCCGGGGAGAACACCGATAAAAAAGAAGGGGACACCTCAACGAAGAAGCGTGAAATTGGGAGGTTCAGCGACGACGAGGAGTTCGAGGAACCCCAGCCGAAGAAGCGCCACCTCCGCTAATCATGTTCCTCGCCTTCGGCCTCGGTCTCATCCTTGAGCCCTCGACCTCGAGGCACGTTATCATCCCCTCGGCCTAGAGCCCTCGGCCTCGAGCCACTTATCTTAACAAAGCCGTTGTCAAACAACGCACCCCTTGTATTCCGCTTATTTCTTATGAACTTAAGTAAAGGATGCGCACAATCCGGACATCTGATCGGCCCCTTCGAGGCCAAATGCCCAGGTATGGCCGGTGGTGTCCAAGGACGAGGGGCCTGCAAAAGGCCCGCATTTTTGGAGCGAGGCGCTCACCGCGTCACCGGCGCGCAACGCACGGCAATAGGCCTGAAAGAATGGCTGAGGTGACGAAATCCCCAAACTTGGGGGTGACACGACAGTCGTCGGAAACCGACCAATCCTAGCTCGCGCCGTAAATAGACGACGGGACCCCCCAAGGTCAAGGGACGGTTCAGCGTTGGGGGACTTACAGACGAACCGCTGGACGGATCACTTGGACCCCCTTCCGGTCGAGGCGGGGAAGCAACCCCCTCGGCCGAAGCCTGAAAAAAGGAACACACATCAGGAGGACTAACATACGACCTCCTAACACAATCAAGGGACGGCCCAGCGCCGGGGGACTAACAGACGAACCCCCGGACGGATCACTTGGACCCCCTTTCGTCCGAGGCGGGGAAGCAACCCCCTCGGCCGAAGCCTGAAAAAAGGAACAAACACCCGAAGGACTAACACGCGGCCTCCCGGAACTGTCAAGGAACGACCCTCGGCCTCAACCTGATTATACATCATCAACGTCCCTCAGCCTCAACGTGATTTTCACACCACAAACGGCCCTCGGCCACAACGTGATTCTACACCACAACGGCCCTCCGCCACACTTTACTTTGTCATCTTTATTTGATGACAAGGATCTCATTCACAGGTGTCTCGGCCTTAGCGTAATTTCACATCACAAATGGCCCTCAGCCTCAACATGGTTCCGCATCACAAGCGGCCCTCGGCCTCAACATGATTTCTGCATCACCAACGACCCTCGGCCTCAATGTGATTTTTACATCACAAACGGCCCTCGGCCTCAGCATGACTCTACAGCATGACGGCTTTCAGTCTAAGCGTGATTCCACATTACAACGGCCCTCGGCCTCAATATGATTCTACATCACCAATGGCCCTCGGCCTCAACGTGATTTTCACAAACGGCCCTCGGCCTCAACATGATCTACATCACAACGGCAATTGGCCTCAGCGTGATTCTGCATCACCAACGGCCCTCAGCCCTCGCCCTCAACATGACTCTACGTCATACAGGCCCCTCGGCCTCAAGGTGATTTTCACACCACAAACGGCCCTCGGCCTCAGCGTGACTACATCACAACGGCCCTCGGCCTCAACATGATTTTCACATCACAAATGGCCCCTCAGCCTTCATCCCTCCGGCATCTTTATTTGATGATGGGGGCCATCATACAGGCCCCTCGGCCTTCATCCCTCCGGCATCTTTATTTGATGTTGGGGGCCATCATACAGGCCCCTCGGCCTTCATCTTTCCGGCATCTTTATTTGATGTCGGGGCTATCATATAGGCCCTCGGCCTTCATCCCTCCGGCATCTTTATTTTATGTCGGGGGCCATCATGCAGGCCCCTCAGCCTTCATCCCTCCGGCATCTTTATTTGATGTCGGGGGCCATCATACAGGCCCCTCGGCCTTCATCCTTCCGGCATCTTTATTTGATGTCGGGGCTATCATATAGGCCCTCGGCCTTCATCCCTCCAGCATCTTTATTTGATTTCAGGGGCCATCATATAGGCCCCTCGGCCTTCATCCCTCCGGCATCTTTATTTGATGTCAGGGGCTATCATACAGGCCCATCAGCCTTCATCCCTCATGCATCTTTATTTGATGTCGGGGGCCATCACACAGGCCCCTTGGCCTTCATCCCTCCGGCATCTTTATTTGATGCCAGGGGCTATCATACAGGCCCTCGGCCTCCATCCCTTCGGCATCTGTATTTGATGTCAGGGACTCTCACACAGGTCCAACTGGCC